ACACAGCAGACAGTAGCAGGGATATCAGAGTATAAGGGCTCTAGTCCGGGGCGGGGAGAGGCTAAGGGAGGGTGCCATCTGGGAAGTGGGTATACAGTTGAATAAGATGGTTTGGGATGTTCTGTGTGATACACACACATACAATTTTAAAAAATGTGTTATATTGAGGAAGCATGGAAATTTACATCATGTTAGAGGTGATAAACATTACCACTGACATCTACCCGATGACTTTATAGACATACCCAGGTGCCAAGGATCCAAGTGCAACCGATTATGACTAGTAATAATCAGATACATACAGATTAGAGATGCATGCGCTAACATCACAGTGTTAGTAGCAAAAACAGTGAGTCTTTCTGCAAGAACAATATATTCTAAAATGAAATGGAGATTTTTTTTTTTTTTTTTTTTTTTTTTTTGAGAAAGGGTCGTAGCCCGTAGCCCAGCTGTCCTGGAACTCACTATGTAGACCAGGCTGGCCTTGAACTCACAGAGATCCGCCTGTGCCTCCCAAGTGCTGGGTCTACAGGTGTGCGCCACCATGCCCAGCTGGAGACAACTGTGAACCTAAAAATTTACAGCCACTTTTGAAAGAGATGTATCCTTGCTCTGGAATGTGTTAATGAATATGTTAAAGCTGTAATGAAATGCTTCTTCTAATCATGTGGTTATTAAATTAAAAAAATTTTTCTTTTAATTTCTACTTATTTTAATTTTATGTGATATGTATGAGTGTACTGCCTGCATGTAGGTCATGCATCTGTGTTGTGTAATGCCTGCAGGGGTCAGAAGAGGGCACTGGATCCCATGGAACTAGAGTTACAGATGGTTGTTGGCTGCCATGTAGGTGCTGGGAATCAAACCCAGGCCCTCTGCAAGAGCAGCCAGTGTTCTTAACTGCTGAGCCATCTCTCCAGTCCCCAGAATGTCTTTTAAACAGGTAAACAATTCAAATGTATTTCTCTAGCCCTAAGTTCAACTTTCCATACCTGTATTCCAACTGTGCATTGAATACTTCCTTCTTGGAGATGCTTCCCATTACTTTCAAGCCAACATGATCAAAGGGGAATTCATTCTCTTCCCCACACAACTTTATTTCCTGATCTCCTTATTCTTTCAGTGAGAACAGAGCTCTTTTGGTTACTGAGGTTAAAAATCTATGCCATTTTGGGGGTTAAAAAAAAATAAAAACACACACAAAAAAACAACCCTTCCCAATTAATAGGTTGAAAAGCTGTGGCTTTCTAAGTGGGTTTGACATTTTAATTTTATTTACTTACTATTATTTTTGGTCTTTTTGAGACAGGGTCTGCCTGTAGCCCCAGCTGGCTTAGAACTTACTATGTAGACCAGGCTAGCCTCTGCCTCTGCCTCCCAAGAGTGCTGGAATTAAAGGTGTGCGCCACCATGCCTGGCCTTTTTTTTTTTTTTTTTTTAAATTTTATTTTATGGTATGAGTGCATTGCCTGTATGTATGCAAGTACACTTGTGTAGTGCAATGCCTGCAGAGGTCAGAAGAGGACATGGGATCCCCTGGAACTGGATTGCTAGCTGCCATGTAGGTACTGGGATTGGAACCAGGGTTCTCTGCAAGAGCAGCCAATGCTCTTAACCACTGAGCCATCTCTCCAGCTATCTTTTTTTTTTGAGGCAGGGTCTTTCTGTAGCCACGGTTGGCCTGAACTTGCTATATAGACCACACTAGCCTCAATCTCAGAGATCCACCTGCTTCTGCCTACCAAGAGCTGTAACTAAAGGCATGCACCACCATGCCCTACTTGGGTTTGACATTTATTATTTATTTATTTATTTATTTATTTTTGGTCTTTTTGAGACAAGGCCTCCCTGCAGTCCCAGCCGACCCAGAACTTGCTATGTAGACCAAGCTGGGATTAAAGGTGTGTGCCACCATGCCTGGCATAGGTTTGACATTTTAAAAAGTTGTTTAAAAGCAAAGAAAATATGTGATAAAGATCAAATGTGGTCATTTTTCTTATTACATTTATTTTTGTGGGTGTGTGAGTACACGTGGGCCACAGAGCACTTGTGGAAATCAGAGGACAACTAGCAGGAGTCAGTTTTCTCCTTCCACCATGTGGTTCTCAGATTGCTAGGCTTGGTGACAAGTGCATTTACCAGCAGAGCCATCTCACCAGCCCTGTTTTATACATAACCTTTTATTGAAGTTTGCCAAACCTTTGTTGTAGATTATGCCCAAATCCCTGGTTCATGAACCACTTTATTAAATACACTCCCTACTCTTTTAACAATTTTTTTCAGGCAGGGTCTCATGTATCCTAGTCCGGTTTCTAACTTACTATGTAGCTAAGAATGACCTTGAATTTCTAATCCTTCTGCCTCTACCTGGGATTAAGGTGTGTGCCACCATGCCAGTTTATGCTGGGCTAGAGAAGAAATATAGGGCCTTACCCAAGCTAGGCTACATCCCTAGTCCCCAATAATATTTTATTTAAATTAGAATGTTTCATTACCTATTCATGCCATATTTATATAACAAAATAATGCTAAAACAAAACCTTCTGAAGGGCTGACTCCAACCACCAAATCTTTTTTGGGGAACACTGGAAATAGAATTTACAACCAGGCAAAGTTCTCAACCACTGAGCTATATCCCAAACCCTCCTTTAAAACTATTTTGAGTTAGAATCTCACTAAATTGTCCAGTTTGGTCTTAAATTTGAACTTCCTGCCTCAGCCTCCCAAGTAGCTAGGGTTACAGGCTATCTTTGTCAGGCCCAGCTCAGTATCCTAAAATTTGCAGATATTTGGTTTGTGGAGGCACATCTTTATGACTGGTTTAAGGATAAGCACATGTCCCAAGCTAGGCCACCCCCCTCAACAAGGAAATTCAATTTTGAGATTTTTGTGATACTGAGAAACTTTTTCTGGATGTAAACCTAGTAACATAGAGCCCAAACAGCTGCAGGCAACCATTTTATAACCACAAGCAAATAGACGCTGAGAGACTAAACCCAACATTTAGTAAGCAGAAATGAAGAATGAAAATGGTGCTCTGGTGACAATGAGACCCTGGTTTATATCTCACAAGGCCAGTGCTATCGGTTACTTTTCAAAAGAACAAAACCCTAATTTCCCCTAATTGGTCAGATTTTCTAAAAGTGCTTTCAGCATACCTGGTGTGGTGGTGCACCCTTTACTCCCAGCACCTGGGCAACAGAGACAAACACTATGAGTTTTGAGGCCAGCCAGGGATACACAGTGAGGCTATAGTAAGAAGAAAAAGCTTTACCCATTCAGATGAGTACATAAGGTGGAAAAATATTTACGTGAAATAAGAAGAAAATAGAAACCAAAGCAGCATAAAAGGTAGGCCTGTCTTTCGGCTTTGCTGTTTCAGCCTTCCTAAAGTTGATAACTAGTGATTGTGAAAGAAATCGAATGTACTCAAAGTAGGATGAGACGATGATTTCCTGAATTACTAGCCAGTATGTTCAGTGTTAGTACCATTCACAACTTTAAATAGAAAACTCACATCCGTCCCCAAATTTTTAGGACAAGTGATGTGGATTCTGGACCGCAACGGCCAACCCCCAGAAGTTAGTTCCCCTTTTCATCGGTCCTCGTAGCGGGGAACACCGCGCACCCCCGACGACTGGGCCGCAGCGCCGCACTACGAGAAGCGAGAACCCAACGGGGCCAGAACCAGCGGAGGGGAAAGGAGGCACTACACGAGAAAACACGGGTGAAGAGTGCAGCTGGCGCCGCCCGCAGCCTCCGCCCGGAGGATGCGAGACGCGAGCTGAGCGAGGCGCGGAGCCGGAAAGGCGGCCATTACCTGCGTTCGAGCAGCTGCGGCGACCCGGCTGAAGGGAGCTCCCCGCAGCGGGACATGCCCGTGGGCAGCACCCACGCCTGGCCGCAGCCCCAGCCTCGCCGTACCCAACCTCGCCACGCCATCTTCCCAACCTCTGCCCCACCATGGCCCGACCTTACCAAACCCAGCCCCGGAACCAGTTCCGCGGGAAGAGAGTGCCATAGAGTGCGGAGACGCGGCTAGAACGTTATCCCCGCACCCGGCGGAAGCGGAACCAGCTCGGCCGGCCTGGCCCCCTACGTGGCAGGCTCCAACCTGCATCCTCCAGCGATGGTGGCCTGGGAAGTGTGACCGCTCTTGGCCCTCGGCAAGCACATTTCCAGTTTTAGACAAGAGTTAAAACTTCGATTGTGAGATCCCTATCCTAAAACTTCCTGACCAGTTTTGTTTTGTTTTGTTACGTCTTTTTTGAGACAGGGTCTCGCTGTAGCCCCAGCTGGCCTAAACTCGCTATGTAGACCAGGCTGGCCTTGAACTCACAGAGATTCACCTCCCGAGTGCTGGAATTAAAGGCGTGCTCGGCTTCCTTCTGATTAGTTTTTGCCTCCATCTCTCATCACCAATACATCCCCTTCCGATTTCATGTCCTCCTTTATTTCATGAACCACTAAGTCTAATTATGCTGCTCACATGCACAGTGGTATGGAACCATAGACAAGTGAACGGGCAACCTACCAGGAGCTACACCCTCAAAAATGACTTCCTCCTCCCCCCAGCAGCTCTCAACTACCAAAAGACCTTACCTAGGGGTGGGGCCTCATGAACTCCCAGTGCCATACTGGAATGTGGACTGGCTTGATTTTCTGCAAGTGTGAAGGTAACTATAGCTGTAATGAGTTCATGGGTGCAAAGCCATGCATGTCTAGAAGACAGCTTTTATCAGCGCTATTTATCTTTTGTCTCTTACATTTTCTTCCACTCCCCTCTTCTAAAATGTTCTTTGAGCCCTTGGAGGAGGATGATAGATGTCCCATTTAGGTCTGAGCACTCACACTTATTCTCAGCACTTTGGCCAGTTATGAGTCTGCAGTAACGGTTGCCCACTGCAGAAAGAAGCTTCTCTGACCAAGATTGAAAGCAGTGCGAATCTATGGGTATAACCAAAAATATTTAGAAGTCAGTTTAACAACATGTCCATTTAGCAAAACAAGTACTCAGTTGCCATATGACCTCCCCAGTCAATGACATTTGACCAGGTTTACAGTACAATCATGAATTCCCTCCTGTAGAGCAGATCTCAAATCCACTCAGAAAACCGTTGATTATCCCTACAATCTTCATGCCACTATTGCACCAGTGAGTACATATTGCCTGGCAGGTCACATTGTAGTATGCAGGGTCTAGCAATAGGTAAGACTGTTGATGACTTTTCTCCCAAAGTGGTCTGCATAGCACCGTTGGCATTTTGAAAGCCAGCAGGGAGGAGGTTTCCAGGTCACTTTCAGCATAATTTAGCTATGCCCTACAACCAAAATGTGTGGTGTCTTCAGCAATAGGGGTTTTTTGTTTGTTGGTTTGGTTTTTTTTGGTGTTTTTTTAAAGACAGGGTCTCCCTGTAAGCCCCAACAGGCTTGAACTCACTATGTAGACAAGACTGGCCTTGACATCACAGAGATTCATTTGCCTTAGGCTCTCAGGTGCTGAGATTAAAGGTGCACACAACTAGCCCTACAGTATGTCTTACCATCTAGTTATGTTGGGCAACCAAGAGCAATGGCAATAGCTTGTACTGTTTGGGGCCCTCTCTGACCAATAACTCATAAGGCAGTATCCCAGGCCTGCACTGATGTTTTCATTTAATAACTCGTGTCTTCTGGGAGAAGCATTGTCCACCCATGCAGGGTACCTTCATTTAAACTACTTTAAAAAAATATAGTTGATGCCGGGCGTGGTGGCGCACACCTTTAATCCCAGCACTTGGGAGGCAGAGGCAGGCAGGTCTCTGTGAGTTCAAGACCAGCATGGCCTACATAGTGAGTTCCAGGACAGCTGGGGCTACAGGGAGACCCTGTCTCAAAAAGACCAATGTCTCAAAAAGACCAATATAAACAAAAACCCAAACAACAAAAAATTATATATTTTAACATTTTGATTATTGGCCTTAGCCTTATAGCAGCTGTGCTATCCCTCCAGCCCGTAAAAAATTATGTATTTTTAATTGACGTCCAAAGTAGTGGGTTTCCATGAGTTTTTCATACATTCTTAGTTTTATTTAACCCACCTGCCACTCACTCTTTCCCCCAGTCCCCTGCCCCCATTCTCACTTAAACCTTTAACCTCCAGTGGCTACTGTGAATTAGAAAAGCAATGAAAATGGATATGCAAGTATCTGTGTAGTAGGAGATGCAGTCTTTTGCGTACATGCCCAGGAGAAGTTTTTAGCTTTTTGAGAAGCGTCTACATTTATTTCCACAGTGACTGCACCAGTTTACATTATCACAAACAGGATAGATATTTGGCTTTCCCCACATTCTCACCAGCACTGTTATCATCTGTGTTCTCCCTCCCCCCCCTCCCTCCCTCCCTCCTCTCTCTCTCTCTCTCTCTCTCTCTCTCTCTCTCTCTCTTTCCCACTCTCTTCCTTGCCACCCTGACTGGCCTGAAATTCACTATGTACACTAGTTCAAGCTCCCAGAGATCTGCCTGCCTTTCCCTCCCAAGTGCTAAGATTTGATTTATTTTCTTGATGATAGCCATTCTGACTGGAGTGAGACTCTCAAAGTGCTTTTAATTTGTATTCCCTTGATGGCTAATAATGTTGAACTCTTTTAAAAAGGTTTATTAGCCTTAACAAATAATTTTGTTATTTACAAGCTTAGCATAGTAATATTTAGCAATTCTTAAGTTTAGCTTTGCTTGTGTGTGTGTGTGCATATTTATGTGCGTGTGTGTGTGCGTGCGTGCATGTGTGTGTGTGTGTGTGTAGGTGTATGGGTACCAGGGCACATATGTGGAAGTCAGAGAACAATTTTTGGGAGCCAGTTCTCTCCCTCCACCATGTGGGTTCTGAGGATTGAACTCAGGTTGTCAGGTTTGGCAACAAGCACTTTATTCACTGAGCCAATTATTATTCTAGTGTGATTTATTCTTTCCTGTGGACTCATGGATGGATTTATTTTTCTCTTTAATCTGAAGGATTCCTTCTAGTATTTTCTGTAAAGCTGGCTTAGTTGTAATCATGGAAAGTTTTATTTTACTTTCAATTATGACAGATAGCTTTGCTGAGTATAGTAGTCAGGGTTATGAGTTGTCTTTTAGTACTTGAAATACATCTGTCCAGGCTTTTAAGGCTTCAATGAAGTAATATGCTGTTATTTTTATGAGCCTGTTTTTATATGTGACTTGGTATTTCTTGCCACTTTCAATTTATTTCCTTTGTGTTGTTAGTATTTTAATTATAATATGATGAGGGAAGTTCTTTTCTGGTCTTGTCTCTTTGGCATCCTAAATGTCTCCTGTATCTGGGGTAGCATCTCTTTTCCTACTTTGGGAAATTATCTGTTACAATTATTTTTAGATATTTTCTATGCCTTTAGAACATGATTCTTTTCCTTCTTCTATGCTTATTATCCATAGATTTGGTCTTTTCAGAGTGTTGGGTATATCTTGGAATTTCCACTGGTATTTTAGTCTTTGTCCTTGTTTGATTGTTCCAATTCCTCCATCTTGTTTTTAGCTCAGAGAGTCTGTCTTCTCCTTGATCCATTCCATAGACCATAGAGACTTTTTAACTGAGTCATTATGTTTTTCATTTCTAACATTTAAGACAATGTGCTTTTCTTCGGTATTTCTATATCCTTGTTGAATTGCTCTTTCAAATCTCGACTCACCTTCCTTACTTTATTCCGTTGTTTGTGTTCTTACTCTTTTTTTTAATTATTTTTATTTTACGTGCATGAGTGTATTGCCTGCGTGTATATGAGTGCACCCGTGTCATGCAATATCGTGGAGGTCAGAAGAGGGCTTTGGATTCCCCTGGAACTGGAGTTAAGGATGTTCATAGCCACCATGTGGGTGCTGGGATTCGAACCCGGGTCCTCTGCAAAAGCAGTCAGTGCTCTTAACCGCTGAGCCATCTCTCCAGCCCCAAGTTGTTTGTGTTCTTAATAAGAGTTTATTTTCCTCTTTGATTTCTTTGAACTTATAATTATTCTTTTAGTTCTGGGATTTCATTTATCTTGCACTCATTGGATGCCATTTCTGTAGGATTAGTAAATTTTGGAGGAGTTATATTATCTTGGGTGTTTCACGGTCCTTGTGTTACTGTATTGGGAATAATGCACCTGAGGTTATTTTGTTGCTTACTTTTTTTTTTGTGGTCTTTTTGAGACAGGGTCTCCCTGTAGCCCCAGCTGTCCTGGAACTCACTATGTAGACCAGGTTGGCTTTGAATTCACAGAGATCCACCTGCCTCTGCCTCCCAGGTGCTGAGATTAAAGGCATGTGCCACCACCACACCCGGCATTTAAAAAAAAAAACTCAGCTATAGTCTTTTTGCTGAAATTTTACAACTTTCATGTGGGACTTCTATGTGGTAGAGTCAAGGTGCACAGTTCAGAAAGTATTTGTTCAGTCCAGAAGCTCAGGGTGCCTGGTGCAAGTTCTGTATTATTTCCTGAGTAGAATATTAACTGAGAGAAGCGACAGCGACTGGATTTTCCCACCATGCAGATGTTGTACTAGGTAATTAACAGCAGCAACCCCTTTGACTTTAGTAACTGTGGGAGGATGAGCAACCAAGGATAGTACACAGTGTACTCTGATTTTAGTAAGATTAGGATTTGGAGGAAAATAGGGGGTAGGTGAAGATAAGGATTAATATAAAACCAACTTTCAGAAGAAAATAATTAAGGTGGGTAAGGTAGCTGGGAAGGAAAAGTTGGGATCCTGTAGCATCCACAGACTTTAAAGACTGTTAAAGCCTGGAAGGTTATCACCCTAAGGGGCTGAGCCAGGCTGCACTCTCCGGCCGTCATGCTCCCTAAGTACTGTCCTTGTTCTGCCGTCTGTCTCCTCTGCCTGTGGGTCATGCTGGACCATCTGAGCTCACTGCTCAAGCAGATGGATTACAAGAGGCAGAAACTAGCCAAAGAGATGTTTCAAGGAATTATTCTGTTCTC